CAATCGGTTGAGGATCCAATTCTCAATCGATTGTCACCAGTTTCATCCCTTAATCTCTGCTGGGGGAGGAGAAATGGATTTTTCAATGGCGAGAGCCGTTTGGGGACTCACTCGATCCATAAATATTCGTTTCTCCCCCTCTAATTCAGATGAAGGGATAAAACAGATCGCAATCAGTTGAGGATTCAATTTTCAATCGATTGGCAACCGTTTCATCCCTTCGTCCTCATTAGGGAAGGAGAAATTGATTGTTATATTAAGGGCAGGATTCCGCCGCCCGTCGGCGTTTCGAACTGCGGTAGGTTTCCCTCACTTACTCGACAGCGAACATCACCGCTCGCTCCGCCCTCCGATTCCCCCATACGCGTTCCCCCCCACTCTGCGCCGTTATCGACGCTCTCACACGCTCCCTGTTTTACTTACAGGTACGTACTCAAAATTAGTTCTGCGCCACCGCTACGAAATTTTGCGGCTGAAGCGTTTCCATAGGCGCTAGCAATCTCCCTTATAATCTCTGATTCAATATTACTTTTTTCAATTCATTGTTCATAGTCATTCTAATTGCAAAAAGCAACGCAACTGATGGAAATAATATGTCCCAATTTATTAGCTCTAAATTTTGTTAATTTTTCATATTGCAATAAATGACTTGCTCATGTGCTAATTGCTATGCTCACTGAATAAAAGTTCGATCATAATTATAATCCACTTTTAATCCACAGATGTCTGGTGAATACTCATATAAATTTTTATAATTAGTTCACTCGTTAATTCAATTAACCCGTTGTTCATATCATCAATATAATTCCACGCTTAGAATATCATCATCTGTGTTCAGCACCAAATTAAAAATTAAAATTTTAAATGATTGTTTGACTTCTGCTCTATCCTATTTTGAGAGTCTGAAATTTACTTTAATGATTCAGATAATATTACATAATTATCATCATTTTTATTATTTGCAGTTATGGAATATTGAATCAAAGCTTTTTTGTTTAATCATATCATAAAGTTTCAATATAAAGATTGTTACTATTTGTTCAATGTGAAACAGTCGATTATCATTTTCACTATGTTGCATTCAGATTTTTCTATACTTAAGGATAATCGGGCGAGGAGGAAATGTATGAGGTGAAGCGGAGGGGTTTCTGTTGTTTTCCTGCAGAAAACCAATCGCTGAACAAAAAAATTTTTCCCATTCGGATTCAAAATTCAGGCAATATTAGGGAGTATCTCCGGTTAAAAATTATTTTTGTAGCTAATCAAATTTATTTGTATCTGGTCCATGCATTGAATGGTTTTCAGATTGTTTTTTTTTAACTAGCGCCGCCGCGGCCGCAAGCGGCTGCGACGTTGATGCCCTTTCGTGTTTTCTTTCATTTATTTCTTGCCAAATTTAATGATTCATTAGGATTTTATTGTACTGAGTATTGAAATCAATGGAAAGAATGCGTTTCGGTTCATCACCTGTTCGATTTCAATATTTCAATACGTGAGTGATTCTGAATTTCCGTGAAATTCTATTTAGAGTGCAAAACAATAATTATCAAAGTGTTCGCATTCCAGAATTTTATAATCTTCGTCTCCCCGTTCATTCTCCTTTACTACTTTACGAAAGCATGCAATTACTTTTCTTTTTGAAAAATTATATGACTAAGTCTGATGATTATTCATTAATTTGGATTATCTTGGCCTCATTTCATGATCTTTTTCACAATTTCTACTTTTTCACTCATTTTGTCATCTTTTTCACTGTTTTTTTTTTTTTAATTTTTCCTAAAACCTCCAAATTTTTGTGATTTTTTTTAAAGAATCTTGAAAATTTGTGCTGAAATCTTTGAAAAAATTCGAGCTATTTCTCAAGTAATTTCTTGCTTTTTCATTTCAATCAAAGTGCAGTGTTCGGGGTCACGTTCCTCCTTCTCATCAATTTTGTTATGAAAATTCCGGCTTTTTTTATATAGATTGTTCTCCCATTATTTTTTTCAAAAATTCACAAATATTAGAGAAATACCTAAAATTTTCGCTACTTCCCGAAAAACCTCTGGATTTTCTGAAGTTTCTTCAGAAATCCTTATATTTTGAATTTGAAAAACTCCTAAATTATTTTATGTTCGGAAAAGACCGACGGTTCTCTGATTTTGCAAGGAATCTGCAAACTTTCTTGAAGTTCCTAGAGCTGGATTTCATGAAGAAACACATCCCTTCATTTTCCAAAATATTCTCTCAATGAATGCTCACATCAGGAATAGAACCTACCCTAAAATTTTCATATTTCTAGATTCAATAGTTTAGATTTTGTATTATTACCTCAGGCAAACTGAAAGGTTGTCTTTTCATTTTTATCACGCAATTGCGGCAGTGATGTTCAATGTTCATAAACATTCTCATTGCAAAAAGCAATACTACTAACGAAAATAATACATCCCAATTTATTAGCAATTCAATTTTTTTACTCATTGTGACTCATTTCTCAACTTCCTCTCAAACATAATTCAGAGAGTAAATTGCTTGAACTCAATGTTTGGTGAAACTTTGGTTAAAGCGCACCCCAACGATGCTATGAAATTTTTTAATCCGTTCGCTCGGCAATTCAATTAATCTGTTGTTCATATCATCGTTCCGTGCTTGGAATTCCTTAGACTATTTTTCAAATTAAAAATTCGAACTTAAAATTACAATTTGACTTCTGCTCCTTCCTTTTTTGTGAATTGAAAATTCATATAAGTAATTACATAAACATTCTAATTCTTGTTCTTTGCTGTCACGGAATGTTGAGTTACAGCCTTTTATTCTTAATACAATTTTTTAATGTAAATATTGTGCGGTTGAAAATTCGTGTAACTTGAGAGTTTTTATCTTCATGCTATTAAAAAGTATTGATTTCTATTGTATTTTCAGTGAAATTTGAAAATAATGTGTGTTATTTGCTCGTTCCTTATTTCAGGCTAAAAATGCTCTTCAAAAGTCGATGGATCGATTGGATTCTTTTTTCAAAATACTCGTCACGATGATACCTATTTAATTGGATTGAAAAAAGGCTATTACACCCTGAGCAATGTAGTTTTATTCTCGTTTTTTCGTTTTTTCCTTGAAATTGCTTGTTCGCACGAAAACTTGAAAAATAATTGAGATAGAAACTTGAAACTTAGTATGATTTTAGGTTTCAAGGTAAAAAAGTTTGGGATGCTAGATGAACGAAATCTTTTGGTCAATATTTCAAAAACTATTTGTCCGATTTCATTTTTTTTTCTTTCAAAATGTGCGTTTTCATGCCATTTATCTAGATCCAATAAAATATGGGTATGATCCCATTGAAATTTTTCTAGATATCGTCGTTTTTGTATTTTTTGCTCAGAGTTCACTTTTGCGCACTATGACATGGGTAAAAGTCAGGAAAACATTTTGAAATTTTGGTTTCTAGTTAGAATTATCAAGGAACATTCCTATGTCAAATTTGAGGTCTATGTATTTGATAGTTCTTGAGATGAAATAATTCCCTCAAAATTTTTGAAAAAGAAAAATAATGCATTTATATTTCAACGTCCATTTTCACAGCAGGATTATTGAGGAAGTCATATAGCATGAATATTGTTGCATGAAATTGCAAATTTATTTTATAGAAATAGGGGAAAATGGGTGCGATTGGCCTTAATATTTTCAAAAAATGGGAATCCGTATGCCTCCATTTTTTGAAAACATACATTGGGATCCATTTGGAAGCCTACTACTAATGAAATTTGGTAGAAATGAAAATAAGGGAAATATACGTAGAGAGTAGCAGTCATATGTAATCTGTCAAATGGCTTCTGTCACACTGGCTGTTTATTTAACTAATTCAGTAATAATATATTTTTCACTCTACAAATAGTCGTTTCTGAATTGTAACAAATTTTGCCCCTTTCAGAATTTCACCAAAATTTATTATAATTGGATGCCTGAAAATATTCTGAAAGTTTGAGCCATTTCCATTCTTCATTCCTAAGTATGTCGAAAAAAAAGCAATTATTTGAAGAATCTCGTTCGAAAGCCGCTGATTATCCATGCCTTGTTTTCGAGCTTTTCTTAGCCAATTCGATGAAGAAATTGGACCATTGAAAATCTGTAAATAAAAAGTATTTCGACGTTTTCATTTTACGGATAAAATTTAATATTCGTTGATTTTGGGATATACCTAAGTCTTGGTTTCATTAAACATAACCTCGAAAAACAAAAAAATGACTTGGGAAAACAGGAGATTATTTTTATTGATTCCATACCGTTGGCATTCAAGTTAATCTAATTATCAATCACTCCAATTAGTTTGTCAGTTCTTAGCACTTATCACTGACAAATAACTTCTGATTTAACTTATTATAAACAAATACATGTGTAGGAAACATGCTCTGATCTATTTTATGCTTCCACGGTGTTTGTTTCTTATTTGGGGCTAGAAGTCCGCTTTTAAATTCCCGCGCATTTTCTTGAAACATTGAGGTATTATGGAGATTTGGTAGGTCTCACATAAATTTAGAAGACTGTTTAGTTATGAAACGAACTATATTTATTCAGTCAAACACTTAGGAATAATTATTTAGAATATTCAATGTACAAACGATCATAATGCGACAGCTGTGGTGGTTAAATCGAGAAGGACGTAGAATAGAATAATTGGGTAACTCAGTTACTCCAATCTAGGAACGAGTGATTGCTTGCGCCGTTGGCGCTGGTGGTAGGCTCCGTCGGTAACAGCGGGAACTGATGAAGGCTGAGCCGCCATATCTACTCCCCCCCAGTAACCTGACTGTGAAAAGAAGGGAATGAAACTTTTTTGGATGATTTTACAGCTTTAGCGTAAGTCCTCAGGGGTGGATCCATGCTTGTAGAACGATGTTCTTCAGGAGCGGCGATCGCTGGACTAGGCTGAGGAGTTTGCTGCTGCTGTTCACGCTCAGGAGTCTGTTCTGAGTCAGTCTTTGCGATGAAGGCAGGCTTGAGTCTATCAACAGAGATTGCTTTGTCGATTTTGTTGATTTTGACGATGAAAACTCTGTCGTCAACTCTGTTGATTACTTCGTGGGGACCGGCGTATGGACGGTCGAGGGGTCTTTCAACCGCGTCAACGCGTAGAAAGACGTGGCTGCACTTGTATAGGTCCTTGAGGATGAAGAATCTGGCTTTGGTGTGTTGGGCAGTCGTGGTGGGTCTGACTCGTCTCATGTGGTCCCTGAATTTCTCGAGGAAGAAATTCGGATCTGCTTGGAGGCTGTCATAGACGAAGAACTCACTAGGGATTCGGAGCTCGGTTCCGTAGAGAAGCTGCGCTGGAGAGACTCTCAGGTCCTCCTTGAAGGCTGTCCGAAGTCCGAGCATGACTGATGGCAAAAGCTCTGGCCATGGTGTTGGAGAGTTGCACATGAGAGCGGCTTTCACTGTGCGGTGCCAACCTTCCACCATCCCATTGGATTGTGGGTGGTACGGGGTGGTGTGGATTTTTTGAGCTCCAACCATCTTCGCGAGCGCTGTGAAAAACCTAGACTCGAATTGTGAGCCTTGTTCTGTCGTGATATGCAACGGAGTGCCAAATTGAGCAATCTAGGGGGTTCAGAATGCGGTGGCGATCGTCTCGGCCTCGATGTTCGCTAATGGAATAGTAACGGGCCATCTGGTGAATCTGTCGATCATGGTGAGACAGTATCGAAGACCTTTGACTGTAGGAAGCTCAATGATGTCCAGGTGGACATGCTCGAATCGGTTATCAGGAACGTTGATGTTGGCAGGTTCGATGCGATTGTGTCGTTGTATTTTGCATCTCTGGCAGGGAACGCACTTTCGACACCAGCGTGCTGCATCACGTCTGATGCCTGGCCAAATGAATTTTTCTTTCAGCTGGCGTGTGGTTACTCGAGTGCTGGGATGTGCGAGAGAGTGGACGACGTCGAAAGATCTTCTTCGTAGGTCGTTGGAGATGTACGGGCGTATGAAACCTCTGGACGTGTCACAGTAGATTGGGTAATCCTCAATGACTAATCGTTGGAGTTTGCATGAAGAAGTCTCCGAGTTGAGTAAGCTCTGCAGCTCGTCGTCGATTTCCCGAGCCAGCTGAATGGTCTCAGAACTCAATACCTTGGGCATGTCGATGGCGTTGATGCGTGAGAGAGCATTCGCGATGACGTTATCGGTCCCTTTAACGTAGATGATCTCCGTTGTGAACTGTGAGATGTAGTCCAACTGGTTTAGGTGCCGTGGGGATGCTTTCTCAGGGCGTTGCGAGAAAGCATTGTGACGAGATCTTCTCCTTACGGTTTGAAATCCTCTTAAATAGGAAAGAGAACTGTTAAACTTATTATAAGAGAGACAGGAAGTGACATCTAGAGGCGGCTGAAACAGCCGCGACTAGATGAGAAGAACCACAGACCAATGAAAGACCAAAGACATAGCGATTATGGGTGAAACTGCGACCCCTGGAGGTCCGGAGGGCGCTGTTACTCTCGCTATTTTAGAATTCGCCCAGCATGTGCTAGGGGAAAAGGGGCCGACGTACAGGCTGTCCAACTGGGCGATTCTGAAAGCTATGTCGGGGTAGACAAGGGACCAACGGCCAGGTGAAAGAACTGGTACCTCCGTGATCCCGTCGGGTTGATTGGTGGGGATAGGGTAACGGAATGATCTATCGTCGCCGAGATATCCAGACTAGGAGTCAAGGCCCTAATGAGATTCCGAGAGTGTCGCACGGGAGCGCTTGAACGGAGAGGTTGGAAAAACCTTTTTTTACTCCACGTAGCCTGGTGAATAACTTTGGCGGCGAATATAGGGGGATGCCCCTGCATCCTCCGCGCGTAAATCTGAGTCATTTCGGAACGCGAAGTGACGACTTTGTAATGTCCGGCGTCATCTAGTCTCGGCGGAACGATTCGAGGCGTATGGGCCCGTGGGCCTGGAGTCGAGAAATGCTCCTGTCGGCCCGATCATACGCCGACGGTTTAGTACTACCCGGAGGCAGTGACGCGATGACCAAAGCGATAACTGGTGGTTGAGAGTGTGGGTGGTCGTAGCATGGGTAACGTAGTTCCACCCTGGTCAGATCAGCCTCTCAACGTCCCAGGCTCTGAGGAGTCCCGGCTGATTCGCAGACAATTCAGAAACTCCCAAGTAGAAATACTCGGGAAGAGGAAGCATGCCGGAGGAGTCGAAAGACCCTCCGGAGGAAAGATGTATTCAATTCAGTAGGGGACTTATGCCACAAGGCATAATCCACGGCTTGCAAAGGCCGTCGGGAAGTGGTGGTTATACTCCTGGTGGACCTCGCCCACTCTGCCGTATCCCGCTGATATTAGCTGGGCAACCCATTGTCCAGCCGAGAAGTCCCCTGGGTAGACGAGTTAGCCTCAGGGGCGGGTTTTTGTCGAACCTCCCGTGAAGGTTCGACTGGCGCCCAACAAACAAGCGATAAAAACGGCTAAAAAGTAGTTTGGATTTTTCCTGGGTGAACCCGGGAAAATATCCTTATAGCATAAACCAGAGGACGATGATCAGTCTTGATGACGAAGGGACGACTTTCCAGGATGTGTCTGAAGAATTTGATGGCTGCGAAAATTGCCAGGAGCTCTCGATCATAGGTGCTGTATCGTGATTCTGTTGGACTCAGTTTGCGAGAGAACCGAGTGGCTTCCAGACGTTGTCCTCCAACTGTTCCAGAGCTACTTCAATGGCAGAGTCTGAGGGGTCAGTGGAGAGGGCAAGAGGTGCTGTTGTAGAGAGAAAATTGACTCTAGCTGCATTGGCGATCTTTTCTTTACACTGGTCGAAAGCTGCGTCCGCTTCGGGGGTCCAAGTAATTTTCTTTTTGTCATTTTTCTTGGAGTCTTTGGTGAAATCGTTGAGTACGGATTGGTCTTGTGCTGCGTGTGGGAGGCATCGTCGATAATAATTGAGCATTCCGAGGAACCTGCGAAGCTCAGGAACGGTTTCAGGTTTCGGAAACTCGACGATGGCTTGGACTTTGCTCTCAGGTGGGGAAAAACCGTGTTTGTTAATCTTGTAACCCAAGTAGATAACTTCCTCTTGGCTAAATTGGCACTTACTTGAGTCAATGCTTGTCTTCGAGGATATTGAAGATGATCTCGAGGTGTTGTAAGCGCTCTTCAGGGTTCCTGGAGAACACTATGAGATCTAGTCAATGTCTTGCAGGAGGTTGTCCATGCGACGCTGGAATGTTTGCGCAGCGTTGCGCAGTCCTGGAGGCATGCCAAGGAACTCAAAGAACCGTCTTGGCGATGTCCTCTTGAGCCATGGGGATCTGATGGTAGGCGCGCACGCGGTCGAGGGTTGTGAAAACCTCGCGGCCGTGGCAGCGCTGCAGGACGTCTTCGATGATTGGCAATGGATAGCGATCTGGAACTGTGTGTTTATTAAGACCACGATAGTCTCCTGTTGATCTCTAGTCTCCTTGCTTCTTGGGCATCATGTGAATAGGGCTAGCCCACTGACTGTTCGAGGGTCTTATGACTCCATTGTGCAGTAGAGCTTGGACGTCATCACGTGCTGCTTGTAGTTTGTCACCAGCCAGTCGTCTCGGGCGTTCGGCGACTGGCGGTCCGCTGGTGATAATGTGATGAGCTACTGGGCTGTCGATCTGGGTTCTGGGAGCTGCAGGAGGCTTCGTGACCTCCACATACTTGAGAAGCAACTGATGAATACCTGGAGAGAGAGCTGAGCTGTCCATGGTGACGGTGGAGACGCTGAAGATGCTGGTCTCGAGAATCTCTCGACGCGTTGTGAGATCTATTGCAGGATCGATGAGACATTTGTTTTTCAGATCTATGAGCAGACCGTAATGAGCAAGCCGGTCTGCGCCGATGATAGGAATTTTGACGTTGGCGACGGTGAAATTTCACCTGTAGTCGCGGTGAAGTCCGATGTTTAGAGAGAGCAGCTGCTGGCCGTACGTGTCGATGACTGTATTGTTGACAGCGAACAGCTGGAGATCTAATGGTGAAGCGGTGTGACGACCCCAGGAACGAGGGACTATAGATATCACAGATCCCGAGTCGACGAGAAATCTTTGGCATTTGGATTTATCAGAGACGAAAAGGCGTAGTTCTTTGATGGCGGCATTAGTATTTGAGTCTGAGCTGCCGCATGCCGCCTGAACATACGGCAGCGTCTCTAGTTTAACTGTTGCTGGTTGGTAACTGCAGTGGAGAACGAACAAGGGGGTCGGCAATTCTAGGCCCTCTCCTTAAATTTTTAATGGAAGAAACACCAACCGCTTTAGTTCATGGTGCAGGCGTGCTGGAGCGTGTACGAGAATGGGAGCGAGATTTTCTCGAAGACACCTGTCCCAGCTTGGATGACAGCTGCTGAAAAGCGTGGCACAGGGTCTCAACGGCTTTCTCGACAGCACCAAGCCTCTGCTCGATGAGACTGTTGGGCCTGTTGTGGTTGTAGAAGTCTGCAGCTGCTACCGTGCTCTGGAAGTTGGTAGCAGGGGTCTCGGCATTGAATGCGCCAGACTGGTAGGAAGTTGCCATGACTGGGGCACCAGTGTGGTTCTCCATGACCGCGTCAGCCGCTTCAGCCAGTTGATCGAGTGTGCAATGGGCCTGGACAGCTTTGAGGATTTTGCTCGCAATTTTAGGCAACAGGGCTAATCACCTGCTGCGGAGGAGCTCGTCGGAAACCTTTCCATCAGCTAGGTTCCTCATCTTCCTCAGGATCGATCAATTGACTCGGAGAAACGTTTTGTTATTTGCTCTGTCAAGTATGGATACTTATCTTGAGCTGGAGGTGCTTTGATGATGTCGGTAATTTCTTTGAGATGCTGTGCCTGAAGTGCCTCGAGGACAGCATCATATTTGCTGTTGTCGCTTGTGATACGCCTCTTCCGGAATTGGGTCTCAACCTGGGTGAACCAGGCGCCAGGATCCTCACTGATGAATGGCGTGAACTTGAAACTCGACAGGGCCATAACTTGGAGGTCATCGAAGGCCTGCTGACTGACGAGGTTCACCCCAAATGGGAGTTGATTGATATTGGCTATGTGTCCACTGGCAGAGTTTGCGAATGAACCAAGGAGATCGTCAAAATTCGGGTAAGTGGAGGTCTGTTGTCCCAGTGGAGGTTGTGGCTGACTTGGTTGCGTATTTTCTGCGCCGTTGCGTGTTGGCGAGCGTGGAAGAGGCATGTTGGAACTCGGCGTCTGAATGAAGGCACGTGCTGGTTTGGGGTTAATCGCGTGCACATACGTAATCTGTTTAGATCACGTCGGAGTCACCAATTATGGAGATTTGATAGGTCTCACATAAATTTAGAAGACTGTTTAGTTATGAAACAAACTATATTTATTCAGTCAAACACTTAGGGATAATTATTTTGAATATTCAGAGTACAAAGGATGATAATGCCACAGCTATGGTGGTTAAACCGAGAAGGACGTAGAATAGAATAATTAAGAT